GGTAGGTTAGAGTCAATGACTCTAGGGCTTGCACCTATGCAGCAGCCCTCTTTGAGTCCTGAAAAGCAGCTTCTGCTGTGTCTATCCAGTCTCATGTAGCACCTTTCTGGATCATCCAGTATAAAGGGTGCGGCAATGTAGCTAGGTGTGATAGGAATGTCCGCCAGAACCCTGGCAAGCCCACATACACCTGCAACGGGCATACTATCGTGGGTCTGAGGTGTGCTTGGATCTTATCAATAACAGCATTGGAAATTACTTTCATCTCACCTGACCAGATAACACCCAAGAGTTTGACAGACAAGCCAGGTCCCTGGACCTTGTTTTCACTCACGGCCCACCCCCATGCCAGCAAAGCTTCCTTCAGGCTGTGTATGGCACCTTCCAAATCAGCAAGGCAACCAGAGGTCAACATAATATCAATATAATGAAACAGTGACAGTGTGTGGCTTAGTCCAGGTGGCCAAGTTCTGGGTCACCAGGCCAAGACAAAGTTGGGCTATTGCCGGGTATGGTGGCGCATGCCTGTAATTCCAGCACTCAGGAGGCTGAGGCAGGAGGATTGTTGTGAGTTCAAGACCAGCCTGGGCAACAAAGTGAGCTCAAGGCCAATCTGAACTGCATAGCAAGACCCTGTCTCAAAAAAACCAAAAAACAATAATTTAAAAAAAAAAGTTGGGCTATGCAGATAGACTTTTGGCAACACCTAGAAGATCTACTGCCTACCCTCCCAGGGGAAGGCAAATTGATCGTGACTGTCAGCTGCAATAACAATGGAGAAGAAGGCATTGGCCAAATTCATGACACAATGGAGTTGCCCAATGGAGGGTCAGGGTGAGACAGTCCTTCGGGTCCCCAGTGTTAGGCACTGCTGCATGCAGCAGAGGAATCACTTTATTCACTTCCTGGTAATCCAGAGTCATTCTCCACATCCCATCTGGCTTCCACAGGGGCCATACTGGAGAGCTGAAAGGCCTCTGTGCTGGGTGTGTCACACCCACTTCTTCCAATTTCAAGGCAGACTGTCCCATCGCTTCATGACCACCAGGCAGGTGGTACTGCTTCACACACACACCCCATGTGGCCTGCATGGTGTGGATGGCCTTGGACTATGATTTTTACCACACAGATTCGCAACCGGAATTATCCCTCAATGGTGTTGAGCCGAGCACCAGTCAGCATGTCCACCCCTAGTATGTATTCAGCAACTGGGAAAGCATAAACATATGGGTCTGGGGGCAAATGTTCAATACCCAAGGTCACCTGGGCCTTCTGGACCATGATGTAGTGACCTCCATACCCTTCTGTGGATGCAGTAGATCCTATAAAACAGTCTGGGCTTCTAATACATGCTGCACATTTGGGGGGCCAGTAAACAGTTACACATGTGGCCTGTGGTCTCCTGGGACCCCCAAGACCTGGGCACCTCAGCATACCTCCTTAATGGGGATAAAAGGAAGCCAGTTTCGCTTCTTCCTGCTTCACCAGGGCTGCTCTGGCCTTCTGGCCCTACTCCACTGACTGGCATTGCTGCTCAGGGCATACCTGCCTCCGCAGAGTCAGCAACGCATCCAAAGCCTGCCCATCTAACTTACCTGCAGCTGGGCGGGCAGCCAGCGGGTCTGGCTATGCTAACTCTTTGGGACATCTCCTGTGGGTTTAACTGTGTGTTATCAGCTCCATCGTTCCCCAGCCATAGCAGCCATGTGGACACTGTTTCACCCACCTTTTGCTTTAAGTGTTTTGTCAGCTCTCACGGCTCCATGGGTGTAGAGATTGTGTATGTTGTGTGCTGGGTAGAGGTAGGTGGCCCTGCTGGTCCTCATCCCTGGGCTGGGGGTTCCTCTACCTCCACTTTTTGACAAATAGCCAGCCTAGCATGTAAAACTAGGGGATTTTTTCCAGGGGGTTGTTTGGACATGAGGACTTTCACTTCTGGAGACATTTCAGGAGGAGGCAGTTCTTCCCATGCCTGGCAACATGAGCTCCGCAGCACCTAGCCATTGCTCAAGGTCCTTCTCTCTGCTGCAGCTGGTCTACTTGCCAGACAAGGTCACCTATCTCTTGATTTACACAGAGGAAGAGAGTGAAGAACAGCCAAGCCACCTGCCCCACCATTTCATGGTGAGGGGGAGGAATTTGTCTGTTGCGTCCAAGACATCCCCAGGCTTGAAACGGACTGTTTCCCAGTCCTCTGGGACCTTCTAAGCCACCAAGAAGGTGGCTACAGGTAGCCATGGTGAGCTGGGGTTCTCCCTCACCTTCAGGCACTGTATGCACAGCCGCAGTGGGACCTCCTACCTCAACATCCTGCTGACTACTCCAGTTTAATCCCCGTGGGTGGCCAAAAGGAGATTCTGTGGGTGAGGTCCCCAGGTTAAAGAATGCATGTGTGCAAGGCATCAGCAATAACAGCAGGCAGCATGGAGCGGAGCAGAGCACAAGAGCCACCTGTATCTTTATTGTCTAATTTTTTTACAGGTTGTTATCTGCTGTTTACATTCTTACATGCTGGCCTCATTGGCACGTGTAGTTCTTCGCTGTTAAGTCATGGTTACATAACTGTCCCACTGTGTGCTTGCACCAGATAGGTCATGTCCTCAGGAGTCCTTAGACACTCCTGGGCTTTGAAACTGTCTGAGTGGTTTCCCACAATATCACCAAAAAAAGGGTTATGCATTTAAAATTTCTATTATTTGAATGAACTTTGGGAACTACACTGTCAAGTATAGTGGTTACTAGCCATATGTTGCTATGTACATTTAAATTAATTATTTAATTTAAATAATTAAACACCTACCTCTACCCAGCACACAGCATACACAATCCATACACCCATGGAGCTATGAGAGCTGACAAAGCAATTAAAGCAAAAGGTGGGTGAAATAGCCGGTGAATAGCTGTGTGGCTGCCGCGGCTGTGGGATGATGGGGCTGATAACACACAGTTAAACCCACAGGAGATGTCCCAAATAGTTAGCATAGCCAGCACCCCTGGTATGAAACGGGTTCTGCAGAATGTGTAGAGGACAGCCCCTTAACACTTAGTGAAGGTCCTGGGGTCAGCCCCCAGTACCACAAATGACACAGCTACCAACAAAATCAGAAAATTATGCCTCCTCATTTGTAGTAGCCACATTAAAACTGTTCAATAACCACTGTGGAGAGTGGCTATCATATCAGTCTATGCAGGGGGAGAGAGAGAGAGAGAGAGAAGTTCTACTACTACAGAAAGGTCTGTCAAATAGTACTGTTCTGGAAATTAGATTTTTGGTGATAAGTTTTGATTTTCAGTTTTTTGAGACAGGTTCTCACTCTATAGCTCAGGTTGGATTCAAATCTGTGGTTCTCCTACCTCTGCCTCCCCAAGTTCGGTATTACAGGTGTGTGCTACCACACCTGACTGGGATAATTATTTTGAATAAGAAAAACAGATATATCGGGATTTTTTGCAATTTGCCAATGTGATTGTATTATTTGGTGCCAGACCAAGCTGGATTTTACATTTTGGACTGTGTCCAAGATACCAGCTAGATAACAGGTATCCAGGTACTCAGAGGAGAGAAATTTCAAATCAGAGCCACCAGCGGCTCATTGATCTCCTTCTCAGCCATTACCTCAGCCATTATCTGAAGGCTCTGTAAAGGACTTTTTTCTTTTTACAAAAATCAATTTTATAAATTGTCCAACATAATTATAGGTACCAAAGTAGGTTGCCTTTTCAAGCCTACAAAACATAATGTGCCACTTTACTTCTAACCAGAAGACCTTTCAAAATCAAGTTTCATGTGGTTTGAAAAGCACAATTTGCCTCTTCACAATTCAAATATATTTAAAGGGACAGAAAAGAGCTTTAAGTAGGGTGGTAGAGTACAATGAAACATTTAGCATTGTTATATAGTGTGTTTTTCTTTCAGATGCCCCAAATTTTTTTTGTCCTTTAATTAGAAATCTTTAGTCTCCTTTTACCTATGTCAAGAAACAGTGTGTCTGGAAAATGACCTGGCCTCTTTGATGACTTTGTTATGATTATGACCCTTTTTATAAGACGGTTTCCATGCTGTGGAAAGTGCCGCCTGCAGCCCTGTTGGGCCTATGCAGATTGGCTGCATTCCACTTGATGTTTTGTGATTCACCTGAAGTTGCTACATTCTCCCTCTTTACCCTTTACTTCCTTCAGAATCAACTTCTAATAGTCTCTTTCCCACATGCAGCCATTGAAAACAGAAATCCACAAACAAATGAGACTATGGGTCGTGGGTCGTGCCTGGAAGACACTGACACTTCCTGATTGGTCCTCTTGATCACCAACTAAAATGCACCCCCTTTGGTGTATTGTTCCTCCTTGCAAGACCTATTTCTACAAGTCCTTGACTATGGCCATGAATTTTCTTAGTAAATGGGAAATAACCATGCCATGCTTTCAGAGTGGTTCTCAAAGTGAAGTCTTTGGGTCACCGACTCATCACCACCTGGGAAGCATTGGAAATGTGGTTCCTGGGCCCCTCCCAAACCTGCAGAAGTCAGAGACTCTGAGAGGGACTCCTCCACTCTATGGCTTAACAAGTCAACTTAGTGGTTCTGGTGTTTCTTTGGTTTTTCGGTTTTTCTCTGGTACCGGGAACCGAACTCACGACGTTGCAACTTAGTGGTTCTGATACATGCTCAAATTTGAAAATCCTTGCTCTCCATGGAATTCCAAATGTAATTCAGTACAGTTATTGGTTAGAGTCAAAACTATAATTGACCTGGTCATTTCTGAGAGTGTAATGGGATGGTACCAAAATTTCATACAGTAGATTTTAAATGAGTGAAGAAGGTGAGATTTCTACACTAGCTATGGTACTCATATATATATATATGTATATTTGTCTATGGATTTTTATTTTCATTAAGGAACTTCTTGATATTAAATCTCTATCATATATATACACAGTTCATTTACTCAATCTTAACTGACTTCTTAAATATTTTAAAGAATAAACATGGCTTGTTCTTCAGCCCTTTCTCTTTTTTAGTTTGGTATCTATCCAGAGGAATTGGAGAATAATGTAAGACTTGCTGTGACTTTGCTAGAAGACATAAATGCTGTTACCAAACAGGTAAGAATTTTTGCCAGGGTTTTACTTTATATGTTTTGGTCTTTAAGGAACAGTCAATTCTTTTCTTCTTTTTTCTGTGCTGTAGTTTGCACCCAGGGGTGCTCTGCCACTGAGCTATATCCCAACACTTTTAAACACCAAAATTCCACCCAAGATCGTCTCTGGGTGGAGGCCCTTATTTATTTTGAGAGTGTCTCACTAAGTTGCTCAAGCTGGCCTTGAACTTGTGATCTTTCTGCAGCAGCACCCTGAGTAGCTGGGTTTATAGGGGTGTGCCAGAGTGCCTGGCAGGAACAGTCAATTTTTTTCAAGTTGTACTATAATTAATTCTCTTTTCTGGAATTTTTATTTTATGAAAAAATAACCCAAAATCACAAAACAAGAGAATAACAATAGTTAATACACTGTGTATCATCTTCAAAGCAGTTACTCAGAATACAGGGTATAGACAAAAAAGATTATCTCTTACAAAGAAATAGACATAAAAAATATAGAATGCTTCACAAATTTGCATGTCATCCTTGCACAGGAGCCATGCTAATCTTCTCTGTATTGTTCCAGTTTTAGTATATGTGCTGCTGAAGCGAGCATAGGAACAGTCAATTCTTGAAGATGTGAGTCCTGATTTACATGGTGACAGGTCTATTAATATCTATGTTAAACAAGATTTATGATCAAAATTACTTTTAAAAGTGACTTGGTAAAAAAGTAACTTGGTAAGAATGCTACTGAGTTAATAGAACTTGGTAAATCTAACCTCTTGCACATAACTCCTATTTACATAAGGTAAGGAAATTTGAAGGCACTTAAGTTTAACATCATTAAGTAGGCAAATAGATATTTACCAAGTATACTCCCACCTATTTGAAAAATTATAATGCAGCTTCCAAAGGAGTTAAATTAACAGCTAAGAAATGGCTTGTACACTGGAAAGAGCTAGCCTAGTACATATTTCTTTAGGAAATAAAGAGCATTTTACTATTGGGTTAATAGTATCCCTTAGCTATTACAGACTGATCAGGTCCACAATCTCCCAAAGGAGTAGATGACAAAGGCTAAATAAAAGAGATAAATGGAATGATTTGAGGGCTCCGGGAGGATCAAAGCCCTCTCACAGAATTCAAGATTCTGTCAGAGCTGAGACCAAGATCGTCTCTGGGTGGAAGCCCTTATTTATTTAGTCATCAGAACAAGGGAGGGGAATACTCAAGAAGGGTGGGAATTGCTCAAGGACTTCTCCAAGTAAGGCATTATGTTAATTTAGGAGAGGTAGCTTAACTCTAGGAAGGTCTCCACCTAGGAGTGAGATGCCTGAGGCATCTTTATCTAGTTGAGGTTGGAGCCAGGTGTCCTTGGCTCTGACTTTGTTTTATCCTTTGAGGCTTCACAGCTTCACCTGCCATTACAGGCCTCAGCCAGGACCAGTTACTCACAGAGGTTCATTTACTATGAGTCCACTGCCCATTTCCAGACAAGGGTCCTAGGCCTTGGACAGACTCACAGGTAAACATGGAAAGCCAGTTGGTTAATTTAAGTCCTGCTTAGAGCTACTTTGCAGTGGTCTCCATCATTTTACTCTTCAGAGTCACTGGTGTCTCTTCAGGTTCTTAATATTTATATACAATTTATACATTTTGTTGTGGTAGGCAGTAAAATACAGTGTTGTCATGATTACTTTCTTCATTGCTGGAATACAGTACTTAACACCTGCAGTTTAAAGGGGAGAGGGTTTTTTTTGTCTCATGGTTTTAGAAGCTGCAGTGCTTGTAAGGCCTGTGGCATGTAGAAGGGCCTGGATGGAGGAAAGCCACTCATGTCATGACATCCAGGAAGAAGAGAAAATCGAGGGAGATTACACTGTTTCAGGTTGTGCCCCCCCCACCTGCCTCATTCAGCCAGGGCCCATCTCCTAACATCACATTTCGCTATACCACCATAATCTAGTCACCTTTCAAAAGCCCCACCTTGAGCATATGAAGCTTTGAGGTTGAAATATAAACCATAATACATTTCACTTGATTTTGAGTGATGTTTGTTCTAAGTCCACAGTATTAAGATACAGTGTCCAATCACATATCAAATCATTGGCGCGATTTTGATCTGCATCAAGGACTCTGTAACTATTTGACAACTTTTCTGTAAGGTGTCTGTGGAGGCTGTGGTTTTCCTTCTCATGTCAATGACCAAGGAGGGCTTCAGAGCCCCTGCCCGTGAGATATGGAGGAGGTACCATTTCAGTCTGTCCTGGAGGAGTGTCTGCATCTGGCAGAAGTCTACGCTGTTGCAGACAAAAGCTTCCTGGTTTACCTATTTGTCTCCATCAGCTGTTTGCTGCCTAGAGGAAAAGCAAAGCCTATGAGCTGTGTGAAGAGTAGAATGATATAGCAATATGTGCATCTTCTGTAAGAAGAGACTTTGTATTAATGTAGGTTTATTTTCACCCAAGTTTGTGGTTTTTTAGCTCTTTATCTCCGCCCCCCAATTTTCCACCACTTGTCCTCTGTTTATGAAGGCATTTAAGGAGCATCCAGAGGATGCTGTTCTCTGGAGGATACTACCAGTGTTTTTTCAAATTGTTCTAAAAGCTAAAAAACCACAAACTTTTTGGGTCTCAAAAAAACCAGAAACCCATACACATGATAAGAAGGAAGGGAGGGAGGGAGGAAGGAAGTGAAGAAAGGAAGGAAAAAAGGAGGAAAGAATAAGATCCATAATGTATAATAGATATTGTGAAAGGGAAAGAACAACTGGGATGGGGGAAAGGAGAAAAAAAGGAAAAAATATATATATACAGATAGCTAAGATAATTGTACTACTAATTTCTGCTAGTTCATTGAAAGGAACAGTTAGTGTTTATATTGTTTGATCGGTCTTACATGCCTGTATCTGGTAAATTTGAGCAACTACTTTAAAGATAACAGTGTGCAATGTAATAGCCATTGTTAATTTCCTATCATCTTGTTTTGAAATTCTGTATCATTTTTATTATTGTTTTATTCTTTTAAAAAACACAATATACGTAGTGCCTTATGTATAAATTATATAGATATGGTACTTTACCTTGAAGAAGACCTGAAGTTTCTTATGGGCATCACGAAAGTTGCTGCTTATGAGTTCCTGTGAATCGGTGAGAAAAGGGCGATCTGACATAGTACAGGAAGTTGTAGCAGCAGCTGCAGATGGATGTGGTTTGTTGTCCTTGGTTTGATTGTGGCACAGAACAACACAATTAAGGGATCTTTTTGAAAAATTCCCGGGGACACATTGGGCATTGTTTTCTGACTTTTTCAAGGCATGGGATTGTAATAGCTATTTCATCAGTACTGAAAATTTGATCTAATATATAACCTTTTTCATTTAGCTTCTGTATTACTGCTGGAGGTTATGTCATAGCTTTTTTGTCTGCACTTGTGGCCTTCTCTGATCGCGAAAGCTTTGGAAATTGTAGTGATTATTGAAGCCACCAAATTATCCATTTCTATCACTAAAAAAGCCACTTTTTCAGGATTTGGTGATGTTCAGAGTTTTTGTAGCCAGGAGTGATAGTGCATGCCTATAGCCCTTGTACTCTGGGAGGCTGAAGCAGGGTGATTGCAAGTTCTAGCCCAGCCTGGGCTACTTAGCAACTTAGTGAGACCCTGACTCAGAATAAAAATAAAGAAGACTGGGATTTGGCTTAGTGTGAATACTTGGGTTCAGTTCCCAAACTGCAGAACATAAATAAGGTATTTGTATTGCATTCTCTTTCATTGTGAAGTAGATTGTTCCTGATTTTTCACCGTCTTATGTATGTTTATGTATCTTGATTCAGCTGTGTATAGTTTTCTCTGTTTACCTAGCTGTGTTTCTTACTGATGAGATCATGCTTTAGCAAATATGAAATTCAGCTTTTGCTTATTTTGTTCCTTAATATGTTAGTAGTCTTGAAATAAATTCACATTTTTAAATCAAGCATTACAACAAAATTGATTATGCCTGATTCTGTCTTATATTATAATTTTAATCACTGATCTATAAAGAGCTAATGTCCCTTCCGTTTGCTGAGTTGTAGGATGATTAATCCCTTTGTTTCCCTAGATTCCTTCTAATCACCTTAGTTTAAAATGGAAGAGCTCACCTCTCTTCTCTTGTGCAGGAGCGTAGGGACCCACCTCAGGTACAACCTCCAACAGAACAGAATAGTACTTGAGAAGAGGAGGTGCTGGGGCCATGTGTAAGTTGCTGCTAAGCTGCAGGTGGCCTTGTCTCAGCACGAGAAGGCATGTGGCTATACAAAAGCATCTACACTGCCATCTTCCCTCCATTCCTGGGCTCTTCAGCACAGTGGATGTAGCGTACCTCCTTTCCTCTGCAGTGTGCGGGGGAGAACCGGACGTTCCGGCTGTCTTCCGAAATCCTAACATTTTCACTTTAAGTTTAGGGCCATATTTTAGATGAAAATATTCTCCAATAAAAATTTCATTTTTTCTAAGGTAGTGTTTGCCTACAAATGTTCAAATAAGATTGTTTAGTTTTTTATAACTTAGTTTTTCCCAGATAATTTTACCATAGGACTTCTCAGAGTCTTTAATAGGATAAAATAAATAAATAAATAAAAGCACAGATCTCCAGGAAGAGGGCTATTCCCCAACTTATTTTACTATGTCACCAACTGGGAGTGTGGGGCATATTTATTTTGTTTGCAGTATTAATGATAGAATGTAGGGATACTGTACCACTGAGCTACATCTCCAACCCTTTTATTTTAAGAAAGGGTCTCACTCAGTTATCCTGGCTGGGCTCAAACATGTGATCCTCCTGCCTCAGCCACCCAAGTAGCTGGAATTAGAGGTATGTGCTACCAGCCCAGCTATGAGACACATTTTTCATACCATGTTCCCCAGGAAGGTTTGCAGGTACCCTAATTAGCTTCTCAGAGTAGCATTTACACAGCCATTGGAAATCTTGTAGTTTACAATTGTTGCCAAACTATTTTCAAGTAAGTTTGGTAATAGCCCATTGACATTGGTTCTTTTCACTGTATCCCAGCCTAACTTAGTGTACATTTCCCTCATCCATTTTAGGAATTAGCTTCCTGCTTATGAATTATCATACTGCATTCTACCATGCCCAAGAGGAACCACATATGACTGTTATGTGGTCAGCAAAGGAGCACATGCTATGGGCAGTGGGTGCACTGTGCTTCATGACTACCTTCTTCATTGCAGGTGAGACTGCCAAGAAAGAAATTATAATTAATAGTAATATGTTTAATTTGGAAGTTCAATGATAGAGATTAAGAAAGCATTTGAGAACTGTACATGTTCAGTGTATAGGGACATACTTGATGAATGTATTCTTAAGTGAGGTTTTTATCCTTGCTATATCCTTGATATTGTGTGGTAATTTATCTACTCACTGTTGCAAGGATATATTTACCATCTGTAGTAGTCAGTTTTGTGTCACTATGACCAAATACCTGAGAAAAGCCACTGAAAGGAGGAAAAATTTATTTGGCTTATGATTCCAGAGATTTCAGTCCATGGTTGTCTGACTCCAAGTCACTATGGGAGGGTAACACTGGGAGTCCTGAAGTGAAGTTGTTTTTATGTTGTTCTGAGTCCCAGACTTAAACAATCAACCCCTTTCTGAGATGGCGCCTGATTAAGTATTCTGGCAATGTGATGGGTTGCCACACCTGAGTTCCTCTCTGGATGTTGCCTGCCATGTGAAAGGAACCCTCTTGGAGCAAAGCCCTGCACAGTTTTTGGAGTTCACAGTGGTCATGGGTTCTGCTGCCATTTCTCCCTGGATCTCCCAGCCCTGGGAGCTTACCTTGCTTCTGAGATCCAGATTCCCCTCCCCACAAGCCAGGGAAAGAGTACATATTGTTTTGTTCTCTTCTCTGCTTTGTGGACCATCCTTCCAACTTTTCTGGAGCTTCTAATTTTTCCTGTCAGCGTCTTCCAGATTCTTGGTGAATTTCTGAATTTCTGAATTTACCAAGTTGTTTTCCAATATCTGTATTTCATCTCTAGAGGCTGAATTTTGCTACTGATCACCACTCCACCATTTTCCTTGCCTTTTTCTTTTTTAAAGCTCTATTTGTTGTTGATTTTTTCCAGACATCCAAGAGATAAGTTTGTAAATCTCGTGCCATTTTATTAATCTTTAACTGAGTATTTACTTTCCAGTGAATGGAATATTAGTTTTGCAACCTAGTATGCCTCTTCCTGGCCTGAAGAGATCAGAGTACTAAAGAAACTAAAACCACTGTCAGAACCTTGACAAATACTGTAATAAGATGGTCTCAATTCCTATGTTAGCCACAGAAGAGCCCAGAGAATGATATGGCCTAGATGTTTAGGAGGCTAAACCATCTAGGTATTTGTGTAAATACACTCTGTATAATTCCATATAGCAAATCACCTAATGATGCATTCCTTAGAGTATATCTCCATTGTAGTGTGATATATTGCTATAAAAAGAAGTCACAGATAAGAAAAATTTTAATGTACCAGTAGATAAAGGGTCAAAAGTCACAGTGTATAATTCACCAGAAAATACAACTAGCTAACAGATGCATGAGTGTGAATCAACGAGAATATGTAAGTAATTATGAAAAAATCAGGGGTTTTTTTTGGGGGGGTCTACTTACTTGGCAAAGTTCTTTTTAAATTATAGGCATACCTTGGTACTTGAGTGCTTTGAAATTTGTTGAATTTGGTAGCTGATGAGGTTTTTTTTTTGGTCTTTTTGAGGCAGGGTGTCCCTGTGCAGTTCAGGCTGGCCTTGAGCTGACTTTGTAGCCCAGGCTGGTCTCGAACTCACAACGATCCTCCTGCCTCAGCCTCCTGAAGGCTGGGATTACAGGCGTGTGCTACCACGCCTGCTGCTGATGAGTTTTGATGTAAACATTTTGTCTTGGTATTTGTAGTTTGTTTACTACTTGAGGGAAAACCTAGAATTTCATGTTGATTGTCACATGACTCGCTACCCTTTGCAGCCAAAACAATTTGCTTGGTACTTAACGAGGAGTGCCAAGGAACTTGTATTCCAGTGCAAGTAGGGGTGGAGTTAAAGGGAGACGCCTCTGGTGCTGGTGGAGGTTAAAATTGGTTCAGCATTTCTGTATAGTAATACTAGCAATGCTTATATTTGAAATCTTAAAAATGTTTATATCCAATAACTTTTGACCTGGTGAGCCTTAGGGAATTCCTAAATAAATAATAAGCTACTTAGTCAAATAGTTATATAAAAGGGGGTTTAGCATAGTTTTACATAAGAATATCTCCAATGTTTAAAAGTAGGACAGTAATTACCTAAATTATAGTCTGTCAAAATTAAAATTTATTTATGTAGAAATCACAGTATGTGAAAAGGCTACAAAATGGAATCAGGGCTGGGGATACAGCTGGGTGGAGCATTTGCAAGGCACGTGGGAGGCCCTTAATTGAGTCTCAGTGCTACCAAAAAAAAGGGAAAAAGGCCAATTAAGGAAATATGCTCATACTCGTCCACACATACCTGCAAAAAAACAAAGTGTAAAATCAGAATTTAATACAACTTGGTGATGAGATTATGAGTCATATTTTTGTTTGTTTGTTTGTTTTTGGTTTTTTTCCGGTACCGGGAATTGAACTTACAAGCTTGCACTTACCAGGCAGGCACTGTGCCTCTGAGCTAAATACCCAGCCCCCTAAGTTTTATTTCTTTATTTTGCCATTTACAAAGAAGTTGTAAAATTATGTAAGTCTTATCAGAAACACTGAAAGAATACTAGAGATGGAAAAGCATCACATTCTCAAGATCATTCATGTTTATTTGCAGTTTTGCATCAATCGGAGCACAGGGCGCTATATAAAGGTTCAGCTGACATGCATCGTCCACCTGTCTGTGTTACTGGCCTGGGGTGCAAGTGACCACCAAGGGGAAGACTCCAGGTTTAGGTGAAACCCAGGAGATACTTGCAAGGAGTTGTAATTCAGCCCCTGCCTCAGGCCCACTTTCAGGTACTGCTCTGTCCTTATGAATGCACAGCAGAGACCTTGGGCTGCATAGAGAAAGATTATGCAAAGGAGCATTCAGACTGTGCGGCTCATGTAACCGTGTCAACATCCTCGGCACACTGACCTCTGGCAACCAAGTGCAATACACAATTTTGCCATAAGGTGGTGCTCCAGGCCTGACAGACATTTGTGAATTGACCTGTACACAGTACATCTCTTTCCAAACGCAGAACTAGTTATAATTTGGGGGCAAAACGCCTTTCCCAGACATATTTTCTCAAGCAGGAAAAAAATTGGTGGCAGGTAAATAGGCTGTCCAGTACAGATCAGTCTATGTATGTAAAGAGCAGTCAATGGACTGCTTGTTTTGTAAAAATAATTTTGCAATTAATCTCGTTATTTCTTAGATGATAAAATAGTGAGTAAACCTCTCCAAAATGAATTTATTTGTTGATAGTTAAAGTTACTTTAATAAAGCATTTTGCACTCCTAGTTTAATAACATACATTCTTGTATGTTCCTGGAACATGTAATTACTCAAGTGTCTCACAAAACCTGAACTTTGAAAGATGTTTTTCTTAACTTAGGAAAACAGAACCCAGGTTGAGAAGATCAGAGGAAAATGATTTCTTGGGGTATTTCCTCTGATAGGTTTTGTTTGCTTGTTTCTGTTTCTGTTTTGTTTTTTGAGACAGGGTCTCTCTATGTAGACCAGGCTGGTGTTGAACTTACTATATACACCATATAGTCCAGGTTGGCCTTGAACTTGAGCTGATCCTCCTGCCTCAGCCTCCTGGGTGCTTGGATTATAGGTATGCATCACCATGCCCTGCTTCTGTGTGTTTTCTGTCAGATCTCATGGGCTTATGTGTTTATTCTGTAGCCCTGGCCCTATGCCGACCATGCAGAAGGCACTCGGTAAGTGTCACTGTCTTTTAGGAAAGTGAACTCTTGGGGAAGAGGAAAAGATTGCCTGGAATTGCTGCCTAACAGCGAAAGAGAGTGAAGCACAGTGGCTTCCCTTTTCAAGTAAGTAGCTCTTACTTCCCCAAGTAAGTCACACATTTCCTAATAACTGTTCAGTGCGAACTCATGGGGAACAAGAACTGCTCAGGGGAGATTTTCTGTGGTTGCTTCGCACATGCATCTTTGCAGTAGCTCTGCTAATTACATGAAGTGAGTATATTTTCACAGGAAAAAAACCTCTACCCCATTACAATGAAATAGTAGGATTTGAACACTGAAGGAAAAAGAAAATGAAAGTGAACCCCCTCCATTTTTTTTTACCATCTGTAAGATAGCAAGGCAGGGAGGAAATAGTGCATTCCAGTGAGGCAGTGACTCTGATATAAATGCAAAGGTAGAGTGACTATAGTGGAATGTCACAGAGTACACAAGGAAAGTTGGAAACCAGTTAAATTCCAGATGGAAATTGTGATCTAGAAACCCTCATAAAACGCTGCGGACTTGTGGGGAGAGGTAAGTATATACGGATGAAGCGTGAACTATCAGGTGTCTTTTCACTGCATTTGCTGCTACTAATCTGAATAGACTGGGTAATGTGGAAGAAGAAATTAAGGGCTCTCTCACAGAGAGAGTGTTTAAGCACAGAGGATGTAGATATAAAAGTGTGCCTTGGGTTGAGATCTGACAGGCAGAGCTGCCTATGCCTCTGATTTTTCACTGCATAATCTTGCATCTTCCTTTCCCTTCAAGGCCTTTCTGCCCAGGAAGTGGACAAGCCAGTCAGGGAACGCACAGCAGATCCAGGTTGCATGGTCATTCCTCCGCTTAGGGAGCCAGAAAGGCACACCTGGGAACTCCTGGGTCTCCAGCACTGCTCGCAGCAGGGCCAAGATGGGCTGCGGGCCAGAGCATGAAGCCCTGGAATGACTGAAACTTAGTTTTCATCCTGGCAACATGGAGGCCAAAATTAAAATGATGTTCAATTATTTAAAATGAGTATTTCTTCCACTGACTGTCATGGACTAAGATTTATACCCCCGTACTCATAACGCTATTTAGGAGTTCATGGTGCCTCTCCATCTGTCAGCCCCTCCATCTGTGTCTTTGCCCCTGCATCCTGCTACCCTTTGCCAGAACCTTCTTGATTATCTCTACTCAATTACTTTTCCATGGTAACTTTCGTAGCAGATGTAAAAACCTGGTACTTTAATTGGATGAGGTTTTTTTTGTCGGGGGGAATCAGGGGAGGTGCCAAGATTGAACCCAGATCTTACACATGCTAAATGCACAAATACCAAGCTACCTCCAATTCCTTGGAATGCATTTTACAGAGTATGTTAATAGAAAAATTTAAGGTTCAATAAGGCCAGCACATCAGGAGACAAATGCCGTTGAAAAGGTAGTTATTACAGTTTAAGACTAGGAGCCATGCCACACCACACTGGGCCACAGTGGGCCAACACCAAAGTTGGTCCTGGGCAGAGGAAGAGAGAGAACTCCTGGCTTGGGCCTTTATTGCGGGAAGAAGGGATGGGCCCTGGGGGGCTGTCGCTGGCTGTGCGCAGTAGCCTGGAGTAATTAGAGCAGGATAGTGGATGGAACGGTGGGGGAAACCACGAAAAGGCAGCCTGAGGTATGGGTCCTGAATGCATGTTGTAGTCTGACGCGGTTGCTCAGACCTGTAATTCCAGCAGTCTGGGAGGCTAAGCCAGGAGAATCACAAGTTGCAATCCAGCTTGAGTAGCTTAGCAAGATTCTAAAAAATAAAAAAGGGCTGGAGATGTAGGTCAGTGTGAAGGCTCCAGTTTCAATATCCAGTATTTAAAAAAAAAAAAAAAAGCAAGTTCTTTGCTCTCCCCAAGCCACAAAGCCCAGCAGGTGTGTTCATTCTCACCTGGAATTTGCTGGCCCTGGGAGGCTGGGAGTTGGGGGCAGGCCCTCTGGAACCAGCAAGGCCCAGCGTCAGGGCATTAGAAATACATAACAGAGAAAGATATTGCTAACATTACTAAATGTGCATATAAATATGAAGTGAATATTTAGAGAATTGGATTTTAAAGTGTTGATTATTCATCAATGAGGTACCCTCCAATTTGCAAAATTGACTTTCTTTCCTTCAGTGGGGTGTTACGGTTTGTGTCTGTGTGTCCCCCCAAAGCCTCATGCGGTCATGGGGCAGGCTTTTACAGTTTGATTGATTATGGGTGTGAGAGCTACACCTGCTCTGGGGTGGATAGTTTGCATATGTAAGGGACAGGAAGGGGCTGCTTGCTGCCATTCCTCCCTTGTGTGCTTGTTGCTTTTGCTGTGTTCTGCCGCCATGAGCTATAGCCCTCTGCCATGTGCTACTCTGCCTTGTAACCTGCCAAGTATGGACTAAAACCTCCACAAACTGTAAGAGAAATAAACCTTGCCTTCCTTAATTTTGGGCATCAGGTATTTTGTCCCAGCAATGAGAGAAAAGTAACCATGACATGGGGTTTTTAACTTTTCATCATTTTGGCCCTATACAACTTTTGTTAAATTTGTCCCTAGACATTAATCTGCTTCATTGCTATTGTGAGTAAGTGATCTACATCCTGAGAAGTGGTGCTGGGATCCCACACTTCAGGCTTGTGTCAGGTCTTGGCCATCCTATTGAAAACCTGCTCAAATTCTCACAAGAAGTCCATGAGCAGAGCTTTGGCAACTGTTCTGCACATGTGCTCCAGGATCTTGTAATTAACAGGTTACCACTACTTCCCCAGCCAGCTTTGCCATGCCCTAATCTCCTATCTCATTTCCCCTGAGAGACACAAAACCCTATAATTTGTCATAGGGTTTGAGGAAGTTGGAGATCTCTGTTTTCTATAGCTTCTTCAAACTGGAAGGGGCTGCAGTCACTACCTCCTGGAAATTATATGCTCCCCAATTATCTTGGGGCTCTGTGGCTCCCTGGCTGGGTTGAAGAAAGAAAAACCTGTCAGAAAACTATGAGAAAAGAGTTAATTACCGTTGAGCTTCTCTATTAGCCCAAATATGAGGAGTAGGTCAGATTTCCACATTTCCTTAGCTGCACAGGAGTCTTGCTTTTTTAATGTTCTTTTTTATTTTAAAGAGAATAGAAAACAATAAAAATGATACAGAATTTCAAAGCAAGATGATAGGAAATTGACAATGGCTATTGTATTGCATATTGTTATCTTCAAAGAGGTTGCTGAGATTACCAGATATAGGAGTGTAAGATTGATCAAACAATATAAGCACTAATTGTTCCTTTCCATGAACTAATAGAAATTAGTAGTATAATAATCTTAGCTATCTGTATATATATATATTTTTCCTTTTTTTCTCCTTTCCCCCATCCCAGTTGTTCTTTTCTTTTGAGCAGTTTCTTTCCCTTTCACAACATCTATTGTACCTTTTGGATTTTATTTACTCTTTCAGTTTCTTATACTAGGGAGATAACATGACGTTTACCCATATGAATCTGATTTATTTCACTTATGAGTATGCTCTCTAGAAGTTTTGCTTTTTGAAGAGAAATCTCAAGTCTTCCAGAGGCTCACAGGAATAGCTTTCCCCTTTTGGGTGATTTTGTTCTTCAGACAGTTCAGATGGGACTGGCTTTAATCTAGAAAGGTGAGTCCAATTACCTACATGCACCTCCTTTACTGCAGTGGTGTGGCAAGGATTGCTGAGAAGGGGCCCTTGCAGTTTGGCTTTAACTGGTTGGTGGATGTCTCATCTCTCTAAGTTTTTATAAGCACTTGGTCTCCAGGACAGAACATAGGTAATGCTCCTGGGCCAACAACTGGCAGACTTTGTTCCTGTACACTTGAATAGCCTGTTGTACCTGGATTAATGAGCTATCATGAGAGTACGCTGGTCTCTGGGCCTGCTGTCGTATCAGACAATAGAAACGGCCTCTCGTATAACATCTCCAATGGGCTCAGACTCGGCCAGTTTTGGGCGTGTTACTAACCCTCACGAGCACTATTGGCAGCACTTGGAGCCAGGACTTGGATGTCTCTTGGCAGAGTTTTGCCGGAGCTTACTTTAGGGTCTGGTTCTACCTTTCCAGAAGATTGAGGCCCACTTCCCATGTAGGACTTTTACAGTTTGTCACTATGCCCCTTGAGAAAGGACCAGAATGGCTCTTCAGGGACTTGGACTAAGGGCAGGGCCTGAGGGGTTCTGGGGCTGACCTTTTTGCTTCCCTGTCAGCCTTTGATTTCCCAAGGAGACTTCAGACATGTCTCTTTGGTGCCCTTCACAGCGCATGACTCTGATGCCTGGGAAGATGGACTGCCTCCAGGAGGTGTAGAATTTCCTGCCTGTTTTATAGGTGACTGACGAAGCTACCTCCACAATGAGCCACACTTCCTCAGGGTTTTGTCCTGCCTGCTTGCATAGGTGTGGGACATAATTGCTTACAAGAGTGGCTAACCCTGGACCTGTAGGCATCAAGGAAGCAGGGTTAATAGTAGTGCGAGTCTTTATGATACCCTCAGGGATGTCTAAGAGCATGGCCTGATACTCAGTGAGCTGTTCCCCTTTATCACAAGTAAACTTTTGTCTCCGGAATAGCTCTGTTTGGGACTGCTAGTCTTCTCTGTCCCAAACTTAACTTTGCAGTTTCTTCTGTTAGTATAGTTGCAAAGAATTGCTTGTTAGGGTCTCTTTGACCCCAACTATGGGTATAGATGCAGAGGAGCATTTTCTAGAGAAGTCAAAACAGACTGAAATAATTGAACTGACTCACCCAAGATTACAACAGGGCCATAGGTGTCTATGGCCCCATCTGAACTTTTTGTAGCTTACACTGAATATCTGGGGCTGATTGACCAATAAAATGATGATCCACTAGTGCTTCTCCCTTCCTGGGAGGTGGATCTATATTAGGATATTAAGGAACGACTTCTTCTAATTGGTTACAGAAGACGGCTGGATTTCCCTCTGTGCCCTATATGACCCTGCTCACTTTATCATTAACAGACATTTTAATGCACCTCTTTGTTCCCTTGGTAGCATACTGTACATCATTTCTACTCTGTGACTAGTATTATAGACCCAGTTGGCTCTATTGACGGGGGAACAGCCTCTCCAGGTTGGTTTCCTTTCCAAAGCACACTACGCACCTGCATAATTCCTAGCCTCTTTAGCATTCTGTCTGTTATCTGGGGTACACCGAGTGGCCAAGATGAATTTGACGTCTCACTGTGATAAATCAAAAGCAAGGGTCAAAGTGTGAAGCTCATCTGCAAACTTACTGGGGTCCTCTGACAGTTGGCCCAGTCATCCTTGCACTGCTGGACATCCGCTACTGAAAAGGGGCCCTGCACCATAGTATTCCCTTCCACCCCTGGGACTTCTCTTAGGGGCGGGATAAGTCATGAATTAGGGTGGTAAGAAGCTCCACTTCAGGTCCAGCCTCTGGGGCTTAATGCTGTCTGAGGAGCATGATGAGGGGCTGAGGAACACTGGGCTTCCCCCGGGCACTAGGCTGTAATGGAGTTCCTGAGTAACCTGGAGGGATGGACCTGATTTATTGGTTTAGGGACTAGAAGGAGGAGGTCAAGGAGACCTCCCAGCCCCATCAAACAGGTCAGAGAAACCCACAGCCTCCTGAGAGACAAGTGGGACGGAGTCATCCGGAAATCTTTCTCCTTGGGGGCCTCTCCAAGCACCCAGGTTCCTGAGCATTCCCATTGACAGAGGGTCACAAAAGCCTGAACGTAACACTCGAAGTTGGCACTAACGATGTTCTAGCAAGAGGGGAGTGAGTGCAACTTTCCGTCTTACTTTAGAATGCAGTAGTGAGGTTGGGTCACCTCTCTCAGTAATTCAATTTACCTTGGGGCTGGGGATTTAGCTCAGCGGCAAAAGCGCCTGCCTGGCAAGCGCAAGGTGGTGAGTTCGGTTCCCGGTACCGGAGAAAAAACAAAAACAAAAAAAACAAAAACAAATCAATTTACCTTCAGAAATGAATCAATCCTGAACAAGATATTCAAATAACAGAAAGCACTGTTTGGTGGAGACATGAAGAAGGGCTTTGCTGGGTGTGGTGGCACAAACCTGTAATCCCAGCACTTGGGAGGCTAGGGATTACTGCGAATTTGAGGTCAGCCTGGGCTACAAAGTGAGTTGAGGGCTAGCCTGAACTGCATAGGGAGACCCTGTCTGAAAAAGAAAAAAGAAAAGAAGGCAGGGGAAGACTTTATTTAACTAGAAGAAAACCTTCGATGTTAAAACTCCTGATTCCTATAATTTCAAGTTATTGCTAAAACATTTTGTAAAGGAAAATATAATCCCTCACTCACTGGCCTGTGCCAATAGGGAAAGAAAAAACAGAACTGATGAATGCCCTGAAATATTGCAGTGAGACAACACGCAGCCATGCTCACCTCCACTACATCCTCCCCCATACCATGACCAAAATCAAGTGACAATAGCACCAGCTTTCTTATCCTGTGATATTCTATTTAAGTCCAACACCAAAACTGTCATTTACAGGTTGAAAAGTTAATACTCCCCTCAGAAGGCATAAAAAATGGCTTCTAAATTATGCTCTGTTATACATTTAAAGCTGGCCTCTCCTTTCAACTTGCAAATGCATACAAACATGCTCAGAGGCTCAAAAGAGATGGACAAAGCTTTATGAATATTCATATAAAACTTCTAATTATACACTGTGTTTCAGTAACTCAATGTCAATTGATAAAAAGCAGTGGTCTTTAAGTTTTGTTTTTGTTATGGCTGTGTCTAGATGTCCTCCCAAAGTCTCATGTGGCCACAGGTAAGGCTTTTCAGATATGGCTGGATCTACAGGGTGTGACTGATTCATGGTGCAATCCTAGAATTAAGGGTGCTAGGGTTAAGGGAGTGAGAGCTACCTGCCAAGGGTGGTTAGCCTGGATACAATATGAGAGACAGAAAGAGGCTTGCTGCTACTTACTTGTTTGTTGCTTGCTTGCTTTGCTACCTTCTGTCTGCCATGAACTGTTTCTCATCTGTGGTGCCCCCCTGCCTTGGAGCCAGCTTATTGTGGACTGAAACCTCTACAAACTGTGAGCTAAATAAACCTTTACTTCTTTAACTTTGAGTATCGTGTATTTTGTCTCAGCAATGAGAAAAGTAACTAGGATAGTTTTTAAACTAATTGGAAAGTATGTACTCTGTGCAGTCTGAAATTCCCAATCATTGTATGAATGATGGTCTGGCTGTGAAGCTGCTGAATATACTCCCTGGCATGGGCGATGGCCACCTTTGGTGCCTCAGGTTTGGGGAGGGGGAGACCTGCTACCAACTTTATAAAATAAAGGCAATAAACCCTCTCCATGATCCCAAAGTGACGTCTGCCATGGTAAGGAAGGTAGTTCAATCACTGGCCTCACCTGTGAAGTGGACTAAGCTACAGGGGGAAGAGAAAGAGAATTGTAGGAAAGAACTACTATCCATGATCATAAAGCTTGACCAACTGACTGGTTCCTGTCCTTTCCCTGACAGGATCCTGAGATTACAGAGCTAATGGCTGGTTGGAGCAGACTAGTCTAGGCACTATGCTGAGTGTTGGAAAAATAGAGTGAGCAAGACTAGCAAGGTCCTACTTCCATGCAATTTACATTTGGGAGAGGAAAGACAGGAATCACGGTAATAATTTTGGTTGGTGGCTGTGAATAGAATAAATCAGAGTGGTGTGACAGAGACTAATGAGGTGGTGGGGGCAACTAGACATTGGGGATGTCAAAGACATTTGATGTAAGACCACAGTGAGTCACCCTTGAGTGTATTCAGGGTCAGATATTGCAGGTAGAGGAAATAAGGAATACATACCAATGGTAAGCGCTTGGCTTATTCTAGGGAAAGAAGACAGACTAGCAGGCAGAAACAAACTAACCAAAGGTAAATCTTATGGCTGACATCTAGACGACCCACCAATGCCTCATGCACTCGTAGTGCTGCAGCAAGCAGAAACATCAAAACAACACCCAGGATTTGGAGGCAGATTTATTTATATAGACAGTCCCTGTCTGGGATCATTCCCGCAATATCAGGCCCTGATCTCTGGTGGTCTAGGGCTTATACAGAATAAGCAAGCAGGAAATACAGAGGCAAAATGGCTTGCCAGTTGGGGATTGGTTCTTACAATATGCATCATAGTGACCAGTGACGCATCACAGTGACCAGCCGTTTCTAAGAAACAAAAGTAAGAGGAACGGTAACCGGAATGATTATTTGGGCAACTAACAAACTGAAGTATACTGGCTGGGGGTGGGGGGCGTCTTCTGCTACAATAGGTGGGACTTTTGGGAGATGATTAGGGGTATGTGGTACTGGATGAGTATGCATGGAGATTATGTATATATCTATTCCTCTTCTTCCCTTGATGGCTCATGCTTTATGCTGCAGGGCAATGAGCAAACACACCACCCCAAAAATGCAGCTGACTGATCCTGTGTTCTGCCTGATGTGGACATGTGCACTCCCTATGTCTTACCTGGGGAAGGGGGTTGGCCCTACTCCTTTTGCACAAAAGAACCCGAGTCTACTACCTGACAAACCACCCCCAAATGAAATGTGAGGATCTCCATCTCATTCACCCAGAGAAGAATCAGAAGAAGTACCATGACTAGGCTGTGGTGGAAAGAGGGTTTTTATCTACATTTTCTCTGTAAAACAAATAAATGCAGCCCACCCCAACTGAGCAGGTAACTTTTGGCAGGCATATTATGAAATGATCACCTCCCACTCAGCCTCCCACTATTACTCCACCTGTATCTCAAACCCATCTCCAGGGTTCTCCTGGCAGCCAGGATGTGTGGGTGCAGGGCTCTCTCCATGCTATGATGTTCCACACCAATGCAGCTGTCCTCAGTAGCGGGGTGCAGAGTGTGGTCCATGAGAGCTTCTCTTCCCGCTGGTGGGAAGGGCTGAGGTGACGCCCTTTTCTGCATCACTGCCCTGAGATGGGTACTGGGTGGAGACGGGGAAAGGGAATGTGGTGGGAGGAGGGGCTGGGATGTGGCCACACAACAGGCCAGTAGCTGTGTGCACAGCATAGATCTGCAGCTGCCAGACCCACACGATGGGTGGGTGAACGAAATGCTGCAGGCATGGGTAACAGTGACCTGCACCCGGGAGGGTGACAGGGAAGTATGTACGCGCAGGCAGGGCCCAGGGTCTGGCAGGGGCACCATGCCCAATGCCAGCCCTCCTTGGTGAGCGTCAGCCAGCCCTCTGGTTCCCGAGAGCAGAAAGCATCCGGGCATGGTCAGGTCTGGGGTTTAGATGAGAACTTGGGCTGTGAAGCAGTGAAGGACATGCTGCGTGTCAGGAGCTACAAGGACGCCCACCCCTGCCTGCCCGCTCTGCACACACAGCCGCTCACCTCAGCACTCAGCGTCACCGGCTCC